GACCTTCCAGTCAGGCTGGTATGACACGGGTTACAGGTATCCTATCCCAACCAATCACGGAAGACAGTTAGCCATAATGTATTGTAATATTTTAACAGCAATAAATATGATTTGCATTAATAAATATATAGTCTAGCCTAGTGGCCATTCTATAGTTTCTTTGAGTGTTTTGATAATATGTTAAAAAAGAGTTGCTATTATTTATAGCTATACATGTATTTACAAAATTTGTAATAAGTTTTTTAAGTTGTTTTCTTGTAGAGTCATTAGTTGCTAGAGTATGACTAATTTGGTCTTTTTGTAAGTTAAGGTTAGTGTTAAAATCTCTTGCCAGTATGTTGATATATTTTTCTTTATACTGTGAAGTCCAAATATTAAAAAAATGAGTCTTATCCTTTATGGTTGATGGTGCATATATATTATTTAAAAGAAATAGTTGTTGCTTATATGTAAATTTTGCTATAATTACTTGACTATTATGTAATATTTTAACATCATAAAAGTGAATATTTCTGTTTTCTGCTAGTATTGCAGTTTTAGCTATTCAATAGAAACTGTAATTTCATTGTTGTTGCAAAAAACTTTATGTTTATATTTTCTAAGTTGATTTCTTGAAGCATGTTTATATTTATTTTATATGATTTTAAGAATATAAATGTTCTGTAAGCTTTGTCCTTGTTATTTAAACCTTTAACATTTAAGATTGCAATTTTGATTGACTTAACTATATTTGTTATATATGATGTATAGTTTAGAACCTGTTAGTCTTTGAGTTGAAGATCTTTGAGTTCACCTTATTAGATTTGTTTTCTTCTAAGATAACTATTTTGGATTTGTGTTTATACTTTCTTATAGAAATAACTACTTTAAACTCATTAGAATCTTCTTGTTTAGTATTTGTCAATATCATAACTATTGGCATATTATTATATAAAGATGTTATTAGGTTATGAAGACTATTTCCTTGCTATATTTCTTGTGTATTTAATGCAATTTTCTTTTGTATTGTTTTTTTTAAAAGCATAAATTGAGTGCTTTTAGCACTATTATTTATTTCAGTTTTTGTTTTTGGTTGTTCTATTTTTTCATTATTTGGAAAGCTACCATTAGCTTCAATTTCTGCTTTTGGTTGCTCTATTAAGGTTTATTTCTAGACTAAGTTTCTTAATATAAAAGTTTTCTATACTAAATTCTGTTATAGTTTCTTTTTGATAATTCATATATTTTTTCTTTTATAATCTTTGTTTTTTTCTTGCCTTTTGCAGATTTCTAAGTTCAACAGATGCTTGATATTTGGAACATTCTTTCTTGATATGTTCTATTTTGTCATAAAAATAACAAAGTTTTGAAGCTTTTCTTCAGTCTGTTGTTATTTTGTAATCTCAAACATGCATATATTTAGAAATTTGTTTTGCTAGTTTAGGATCATCTGTTGTTTTAAAAATTACTACCTATTGGTTTGATAATATTAAAGTTCTTTTATATACTAATGGTTTAATAAATGCAATTGGATCTATGTCTTGAAATGCTATTTTAATTTGATCTGAAATAAAATCTTTCTTGCCTATAAGGGCATTTTAAAACCTAACTAAAAGAAAGTTACATCTAACATTGATTGAAATGTACTTCTAAAGATTTTGTTTGAAGATAGCAAAACCTTCTACAGAATATAGCTGTTGCTTATTCTTATTTACAAAGACTACCTTCAAATGTGTTCTTTTTTTCTTGAAAATAATTAGTTTGACTGCAACTATGTTATCTTCAAACTTTTGCACTATTGCTTTTATAATGTTAGTTGTTAAAATATTTTTCAAATTATGTATCTTAAAAATCAAAGCATTCTCATTCTTTGTATTAATCCTTCTGCTTAGTAAGTAGATAAAGTATGTTGCCCTTTTTTTTTTTAGTTTGAAAAACAATTCTGACCATTGTCTTGATCTTAGTTAAGAACCTGCTTTCTTAGTCACATGACTTATACCTTGTGTTTTATTGTTATCATATTTTATATGACTATTTTGTAGCATGTGTTCTGTTTGTTTTGATTGTTCTAGCAATTTCTAACATGTTTTTTCACTAACTGTTATGTCTTTAACTTTTTTTTCAATTTTATCTTGGTCTTGACTTTTTATTAGAGGTTCTTTACAAACATAGTTTTTATTAAAACCTACTGTTTTGCTTGCATTTGCTAAGGTACCTAGGATGGATTTTTTTAAACTTCTAGCCTTGTTTGGCAACTCTGCTTTTTGGTTTTGTTTTTCTTTTTCAAAAAAAAAAACTTTAATTTTTTTGTTTTTTTCTGTTCTGTCTGTTAAAGAGTCAGACATAACTATACAAGCTTGTTTTCTTTTCTTTGATACAAGAGTTTTAGCTCTTGTGATATAGTTTTTTCTAAAGTTTGATCACTTGTTTATTGTTGTATATATTATTTTGCCCTTTACCAAAAATTGAAGCAAAGAAAGAAAGAGAACTCTTATAGAGTTTATCTCAACTCTAATACTTACTTTACATCATATTTTTACTATTTTGGTATTCAATTCAAGTTCTACTAAGCTTTTAATTCAAATAGCCCAGAAAGATAGATACAATTATACCTCTAGTTTACATGTTCTTCAGCATATCTCTTAAACTGTTTTTTTCTAGACAAATTTGGTTGAATTTTTAAATTAAATTTAGTATTTTTTAAATAATACAATAAATTATTAATAATATAGGATATAGTTTACTTATAAAA